ATCTGCAGTTGCTAAGGCCAGTAAGGTTTTGTCATGTATAAATAGGGGCATACATTCTCAGGATGAAAATATAATTTTGTCTCTTTATAAATCGCTGGTAAGACCACACCTTGAATATGCTGTACAATTTAGGGCACCTTTTCTAAAGAAGGATATCATGGCACTAGAAAAAGTGCAGAGATGAGCTACAAAATTAAAAGGAATGGAGCATTTTAGTTACGAAGAAAGGTTAAAAAATTTAAATCTCTATAGTTTAGAAAAACAGTGCCTCAGAGGGGATATGATAACATCATAGAAATATATTCTGGGCCAGTACAAACCATTATCAGGAAATCTATTCATAAACAGGGCTATATATAGAACACAAGGTCACACATTTAGGCTGGAAGAAAGGAGATTTCATGTAAGGCAAAGAAAAGGTTTTTTTTTTACAGTAAGAGCAATAAGGATATGGAATTCTCTGCCTGAAGAGGTGGTTTTATCAGAGTCCATATAGATGTTTAAACTGCAATTGGATAAATACTTGCAAAAACATACCATACAGGGATATAATTTCTAATTAGTGGGGTAATAGCTGCTTGATCCAAGGAGACATCTGACTGCTAATTTGGGGTCAAGAAGGAATTTTTTCCTAGTTTGTTGCAAAATTGGAAGCGCTTCAGACTAGATTTTTTTGCCTTCTTTTGGATCAACAGCAAAAACATATGTGAGGAAGGCTGAACTTGGTGGATGCAAGTCTCTTTTCAGCTATGTAACTATGCAACTATGTAACCTGCCTAATGTCATTTAGGCCCCCTTCCTGCTGCCAAAACAGCTTTGATGAATCAAAGCATGAATTCCACAATACCTCTGAACATCTCCTCCTTGGTATTTGTCACCAAAACATTAGCAGAAGATCCTTTAAAGGACCACTATAGTGCCAGGAAAACATAAAAGTAATAAACCATAAACGCGTTTCACCATAAAAGGCTTCTTCAGAAACGCGTTTAACCCCTTAAGGACTGGACTGTTTTTGCGATGTTGTACATTTGCGACCAGGCATATTTTTACACTTTTGTGGTGTTTGTGTTTGGCTGTAATTTTCCGCTTTCTCATTTACTGTTCCCATACAAATGATATATTGTTTTTTTCAGGACAAAAGGGGCTTTCTTTACATACCATTATTTATATAATCTCATGTATTTTAATTTAAAAAAAATACAAAAATCTGATGAAAAATTGAAAAAAATACATGCTTTTTTACTTTTACTTGAAAAATCTTTTACTCATCTACAAAAGCGAATGAAAAAAACTGCTAAATAGATTCAAAATTTTGTCCTGAGTTTAAAAATACCTAGTGTTTATGAGCTTTTTTGCTTTTTTTGCATGTTATAGGGCTATAGGTACAAGTAGGATATTAAGTGTGTTTCAAAAAACATACATTTTAAAATTTATCAATAGCATGTATTGTAACACTATTGCCTCGTCAAGTAAATCTCGAATAACACCCCACACATGTACATATTTTTAAAGTAGACAACCTTGTGGGTATTTTAATAGAGTGTTCCAGGTAGCCACTTAGTCGAAAACACAGGCCAAAGTAAGCATTCATATTTGTTTGTGTGTGAAAAAAGTAAAAAAACTAAATTGAACGCTAATTTTGGCCAGTGTTTGCGACCAAGTGGTTACTAAAAAAGACTGGACATACCCCATTTGCAATACCTTGGGTTGTCTTCTTTTGCAAATGGTATGCCATCATGGAGGTAATTCTCATTCCTGGGCTACCATATGCTCTCAAAGGCAACGTAACCAACCTGGCCATTTTCAATGTAAAAATATTTGACCCATATATTTGACCTTGTAACTTTCAAAATGCTATAAAACCTGTACATGGGGGGTACTGTTTTACTCGGGAGACATCGCTGAACACAAATATTAGTGTTTAAAAACTGGAAAACGTATCACAACAATTATATCATCAGTAAAAGTGCTGTTTGTGTGTGAAAAATGCAAAAAAAGTAACTTTAACTGACAATATCATCGCTGTGATATGTTTTACTGTTGTGAATCACTAATATTTGTGTTCAGCGAAGTCTCCCGAGTAAAACAGTACCCCCCATGTACAGGTTTTAGGGTGTCGTAGAACGCTACAGGGTAAAATACAGTGCTAGCAAATTAAATTCTCTGGAATTTCGGCCTGGGTTGGCAGGCAGGTCCCTCAAATTGCAATCAATAAAATTACTGAATTATGTAAAAATATTACATAAATACACACGTAAAATTTAAATATATATGCATATTTATATATTTGAAGTCTACGTGTATTTATATAATTATTTATGTAATTTTGTATATGGACGTATGTATATTTCTTATTATTTTTATTTATTTTTATATACATAGATATATATACAAATTCATTCTAAGTGTATTTTGATATAAAATATATATATTAATTTTAAAATACAGTTAGAATAAAATTTCATATAGCTATATAATTTTTTAAAATTTTTTTATTATTATTTTAAAAATTTTTTATTTAATTTAAATTACTTATCATTTATATTTTATAATAATATATATATACAATATATATAGTTATTATATATATTATATATATACGTGTGTAATTTAATTATAAGTGTATTTTTATATTAATATAAGTACATATTAATATAAAAATACTCTTAGCATGGCATTATATATATGATATATAGACATATATTATATAGATATAATATATGTCTATATATCATATATACACATATATAATTATTTATTTATTTTTTATTAACATTAACTTTATTTTATTTTTTTGATTTTACACTAGCAGGGAGACTGCCTGTCAGCACAGACAGTCCCCCTGCAGGCAGACACATGGACACCTATTGTGACCATGTGATCGCTGTGTTAAGCGATCACATGGCCACAGAGGTCCTAATCTGCCGTGGGGAGACTGCCTGGGCTGCAGGCAGTCTCCCCACAACCGGAGCCACACTGATCGCCGCCGGGGGAACGACGGCGATCAGGTAAGTAGCTCTGACCGTTAGGACGGTTCAGGACCGTCATCGGTCGGCAACGCAAAAATGCCGATGACGGTCCTGAACCGTCCTCGGTCCTTAAGGGGTTAAGGTTTATTACTTTTATATTTTACTGTGTATTTTAGAACAATAAAAGTCTTTTGGTTACTTCACCGTACCAAATTCTCTTTTTATTGCTCTCTCTATGCACTTTAAACTATTTTACCTATTCCTGGCATTTTAAACGTTCCTGCTACTTTTACTCCCACTGGCAATTTTACTGTCCAAGTACTCCAAGAAATCCCAGGTGGGGATCATATCACCAACGCCCAGTCATAGAGCAGTACCTCTGCTCTATCTTTGTGAGTATTATTTTATCTGCTGTTATTTTACTCATGTATCCCATCACAATTGAGAGCACTATTGCTGCTTTTTATTCCCTTCTCTTGGAGCTTTGGATCACCAGACGGTGCTGACGGAGAGTCCTCCCCTACATATCCCATAAGCGGGGATTATACCGCTGTATGCAATTCACACCAGAGCTGGCCATAGCTCTCTTGAATGTGAGTTCTTTACTTTTGTTACCTACCGCACCTTGAATATTACATACTACACCATTGGTCGCCTCTACCTCTCTTGTATTTTCATATACCGAACGGTCAAAACAAGACGTAACTACCTCCTAGGAAACCTTATCCAGTATCTTCGACGATCCACCAATACTCCACTGGACTTTTGGCGCAGCCCTCATATCTTTTTCTCTACTACAAAATTGCAGTCTGGTGGGGTCTCCACCATGAGAATTTAAGAAATGTAGGGAAATGTTGTGATTCAAAAATCCTCTCCTTATATTATAAATATGCCCACATATCCTTGTTTTTAAACACCACAGTCCACAGTCCACAAGGACACATGAGCAAATACACCACATTTTTTGAATGTAAAAAATGTAACTAAGGAATCGATTTTTAAAAGGTTTTTCTCCAATCCTAGGTTTAAAAGTTTGTATTTGCTTGAGTTTATTTTTAAAATTTTTACACCCCATACAATCTCCACAGTAGAAAAACCCTTTATTGTTATCCCTATATGTACCTAAAAAAATTGTCCTTATTACTAGGTAATTAGAGGTTTTTCCTACATAATTGGAGGTTAGAATTTGCCTAAGATTTTTGGCACCCCTAAATACTATCTTGGGCTTATTATCAATAAATGGTATAATTTCTTGGTCTTGTTTCAAAATGTGCTAATTTTTATTCAAGATTTTTTTAAATTGTCTTTGATCCTTACTATAATTAAAAATCAGAGGTATTTTTTCATTCCCTCCTCTTATATTTTTGGATTTACAGTTAAGTAGGAATTCTCTATCTAGTTCCCTCGTTTTTTTAATCTCTTCATTTCGTTGATCTGGGTTATAACCACGGTCTAGAAATTGATTATTTTTTTTAGCAATTCTGTCTGATTGTTAGATGAGTTTAATTCTGTGCAGTTGCGCCTTAAACAAAGAAATTGACCTCTAGGGATATTGTCTAACCATGGTTGAAAGTGACAACTCTCTTTGTGGATGTCACTGTTTACATCCAGTTTTTTGTAAAAAGTGTGTGTTCCTACCTTATTATCTTCTATTAAAATTTCCAGATCTAAAAAATATTTTTTTTTTCTTTACTGAGTTTTTGGGTTAAATGAATATTCCATTGGTTGGAATTCAAAAAGTTAAAAAAAATCTAAAACAGAATGCTCATCCCCCTTCAAAATTAGGAAATTAGGCTCGCACTCCAGCCATGATTGGAATAAATAAAATTATTTTCCCAATATGACATAAATAAATTAGTGTAACTAGGTGCGAACCTGGTCCCCATGGCAGTTCCTTGGCACTGTAAAAAATAGTCTCCTTGAACCAAAATAAATTATTCCTGAGGATAAAAAGAATTCCCTCGATAATAAAATCCACGTGGTCTACATGGTACAGTGCAGAGGTTTCTAGAAAAAAAGCATGTGGCCTCACATCCTAACAGATGGTCTATGCAGGTATAGAGGCTGGTTACATCACACGTAACAAGTAAAAAATAGATTTTAAAATGGGAAAATAATTTTTTACTTGTTATGTGTTATGTAGCCAGCTCTACACCTGCATAGACCATCTGTTAGGATGTGAGGCCACACGTTTTTGACTAGGTCTTAAACAAACTTTAGCTAACTTGTGCATTTACAGAGGGAACATGTGCAATTTGCATATCATGCCTGGCAGGTGCCTTCAATACAAGAAATAAAGTAATCACACACAATCTTTTCAGCCTTTAGTGCATGACAACATGTTTTCTGCATTGTTCTATTGATAATCCAAGCCTCTTCTTTATTTTATGCATTTTGTATCAATCTCAGTTTGTAAATTGCTTTATGCATTGACTTGTAAATTCAGGATTGGGTAGATATCAGTCTTTGTCATTTATATAGTGGAAGAGAATTTGCAGAAAGTACAATATCCCCAAGCAACCTATGTGTGAAAATGATGGCATTCTTTGGCTGGGAAAACTGGTTAAATTATTAACTATATTTCAGATGTCAGTAAAAAAAAAGTCACAGGTTAGCATTTTAAGCATTATTCTCAAGAATGCATCTACTAATCTACAAAATATGTGTAACATTCCATACACGATTATTTAAAAGTGAGTTGTTGTTTAAGAAATATAATTAACAGATATTTTATGGCCCTGCACTTGCACACATTGCTATTTACAGTGTCAGAGTATTGCCATAGTAACTTGTGGCAAAGCTCTGTCAGTACGTGTTACAAAATGCCTTTTGTAACTGTTTATTTAAGTGACAAATTGTCCTGCTTCCCTGTATTATGATGAAGCCTTATTGCCAGCCTCCTTCCTCATGACTATGGCCCTGGTGTGTATGGCCCTTTAAGAACAATCTGTGAGCATATTGGGGTTTATGGACTTTTATGGGACTGGTGCTGACCCTTTAAGCACATTTTTGGGACATGGGGAAAATTGTGACAATGCCCCTTTAAGACGGTGTCCCCAAACTTGTTTGGGATACTGCCCCTTTAAACCTGTGTCCCCAGTGTCCCCAGACTTGGTTAAAGTACTTTATTCATGGCTTCTTTACACTTGGTTCAGTAAATGAACAAGCATTTTTATCTAGACCGATTTCCTTGAACACTAATCTATTGTGTGGAATTGTATCAAATGCCTTGGCAAAATCCAAATAGATCACATCCACTGCAACACCCTGATCTATACTTCTACTTACTTCTTCGTAGAACGCAATCAAGTTAGTTTGACATGACCTGTGCTTCATAAAACCATGCTGATTTTTGCTGATAACCATGTTCTTCTCAAGGAATTCTTGAATATTATCCCTTAATAACCTCTTTGCTATAAATTGCCGCGGTCGCGGCTATAAATTGCAGCGGTTGCGGCTATAAATTGCCGCGGTCGCGGCTATAAATTGCCGCGGTCGCGGCTATAAATTGCCGTGGTCGCGGCTAGTACCGCGGTCGCGACCTCCTTTCTGACCGGGCGGTTCAGGGCGGGTGGGAGGGAGCGGGGGACTCCTTTCTCTTGCGGCCTGTGATCGCGACTCTACACCGCGATCACGGGCCGCGCTTAGTTTTGGCACGAACGGCGGCCATCTTGGATCTCGCCGCTCGCGAGATCCAAGTCGGCCATCTTAGGTGTGGGAAACCGTGAATCTCCTATTACCCTCAGCCTGCCAGGTCCCCTCACTAGAGGCAGGGGGCCTGGGGGAGGAGGTTTTTTGTCTTCTTGTTATCTTCCTTTTGGGTCTCCCTTTGTCTTTGGATACAGACTATCAGTTATTGGTGGACGCTTATACACTGTTACTACCTGCTGAACACTGGTTTATAGGAGCTACCATAAGGCAGCCAGAGTTTCCCAAACACTCCAGTAACACAACCCTGCCTGTTTATTATTAGAATACTATATATAACTAAATAAAAAAATAAAAATAAAAACTCTTCCAGAGGTGACCCCTCTGAGTGGGGTGACCCCCCACTGGCACACTGTGCATTGTTGTTGAAGGGGTGACCCCCCTGCGCTGGGTGACCCCCAGGCATGTGCCATATTATCTGAAGAGTGGGGTGACCCCCCTAACATATACTGCTGATACGCATGGTCGGCGCCCTCCATACTACGACTGGGGTGTCCCACACACTCCTCCTTCACAGGAGGCAAAATCTCTCCTAATAAATCTCCACTGGGCTTTGACTTTAAGGGCACATCCCGTACCACTACCAGGCACTACGGCCTAGGCAAATTGATTCCTATTTCTGACCGCTCATACCGATCTTCTGGAGGGTGACCCCCTCGCTAGCCCAGGATTACAGGCAGTGGTAATATACAGCAAAACAGGATAATTGTTTGGGTCCGTTGGCCACACTGGGCGACCCCCAGTCGTAGGAGGAAAGCCGCAATTCTCTATTACTGGCTTTACTATTCACGTACTTCGGTACCTGACCCTATCCTGTCTTCCACAGACAGAGACCTACGGCCATGAACATGAGTGAACCATCGCAACAAACTCCATCTGATTTTCAAGCGATAATTAATTCGGCGGTGGCGGCCTCAATGGAAAAAGCCATAGCAAAGTTGTTGGTCCAGACCCCGAATGGGGACCCGGATACTAAGGGCCCAGAGAAGTCTTCGGGGGATAGTGCCCCTTCAAAAAGGCACTGGAAGGGCAATGGCCCAACCCCACGGAAGACAAAGGGCAAGGCCCCGCTAAAGAGGAGCCGCCAGGCGGACCGCCAGGGCCCGTCAACCCCTCCGCTGACATCCTCCGATGAGGAGGGGGGTAATTCACCAGCCCCGCTGGAGGTTATGGACGAGTGGAGAGCGGGGGACTCTCCATCTGAGGAGGACGACTGGTTTGACATGCCCCGCGGCCACACAGGGTCTGAGCTGGTCGAGGACCAGGACGCCCGTCAGGGACACTGGAAGGTCAGCACGCAGGCAGACAGCCTAGAGGACGGCACTTTCGTGGACCCCCAAGGCACACCGATGTTTGATCCATGTACGATACGTCACCCGAGGTCTACCAGACCACTTAGCCCAATTTATTCACTTCTGGCTACGACAGCCAATGGAAAAAGAGGTACGTGCAAGACTGAAGGCCGAGTGCCCGAGACCCAGTCTACCGGACAAGATTGCACACACGCCGGAATTCGATACAACTGTGGTCTTATTCATGTCGCGGGCGGGTTGTGACCCGCGTAAAGGCATTGAGAAGGGCCTCAAAGCCTCCCAAGATAAGTTACTGGATATGCTTGGCCCACTAGCCAAAATCTTGTACCTCGCAGACGGGGCGCTCACGCAAGGGAATGTCCTGGACGCCCACGATATCAGGGAATGGGCGCAACGCGCGATCTGCATGTTGGGCAACACTAACACCGCACTCTGTGCGGAGAGACGCAAGGCTGCATTGCTAAAGATGGACTCCAAGCTCCTAGAATTCGGCAAGAAGGAATTGGGGCCACGGGCCAATGGCCAACTATTTGGAGAAGCTTTCATTGGAGAGTTAAAGAAGCATGTGAATTTATTCACGACACTGAGCAAAGCCCAAACTTCAATTAAACAAGTTTTTCGCAGCCCCACTCCAGCCAGAGGGGTTTTCGGCAGGGCTGGTCGCCATCGGGGCCGAGCCACCAGCCGCTTCTGGCTAACAGGCCCCAGGAGTCAAACGTCTCAAACATTCTTCCCATCGAGGCCACCTTTCTCAAGAGGATCTTTCCGACCCAGAGGGGCTCGTACCCGCGGACGCGGGCGCTTCAATACAGGTGAGCACCCCTCAAGTACCGTTTTGCCTTTCTCATGTCACTGCTGGCAGACTGTCTCCTTTTTCACAGAATTGGGAAAAGATATCCTCTGACGCCTGGGTCCTCCAAACGATCAAGGGTTACGAGATCGATTTTGGGCACACACCGACCCAAACACGTCGACCACAGCCAATACGGACGTCGGCGGGACTCACCAAACTCATAGACGACGAGATCCGAACGCTGTTTCTCAAGGGAGCAGTCGAATTTGCTCCCGACGACACGGGTTTCATCAGCAATATATTCCTGGTCCAGAAAAAGACGGGAGACTACCGACCCGTCATCAACCTGCGCAGTCTGAATTCATTCGTAGCCTACAGACACTTCAAAATGGAGGGCATACATCTCCTCAGAGATTTGCTTCTGGAACACGACTGGTTCACCCGTTTGGATTTAAAGGATGCCTACCTGTCGGTTCCGATGGCACAATCCAGTCGACCTTTCCTTCGATTTCACTGGAAGGGACGCACATGCCAGTTCACGTGCCTCCCATTTGGCCTCAGCTCCGCCCCTTGGTGCTTCACGAAACTGCTGAAGCCGGCCATGGCACATTTACGGACAAGAGGGATTCAATGCCTAATCTACCTAGACGATATACTGATTTTCTGCGACAACGCATCCAGACTTCGATCTCAAACGAAATTCATAGTGCACTTTCTGGAATCCTTAGGCTTCATTGTGAACAAAGAAAAGTCATCGCTCTCTCCATCGAAAATCGTTCAATTCCTCGGATTCGAGATAGATTCAGTAACATGCACGCTACGCCTCCCCAAGTCGAAGATTGCGAACATTCGGAAGGAGATACGCCGTTTCCTACGGAGAGACATGGTCCCTCTGAGACTACTGGCCAGGATAGTCGGGCTACTTTCGTCTTCAATACAGGCAATTTTCCGGGACCCCTCCACTACCGGGCCATGCAAAGACTGAAAGCTCACCACCTAAGACAAGGGCACTCATACGATCAGGCGATCAGGATAACCGCGGAAGTTCGGACGGAACTTCGTTGGTGGCTGCTCCACATGGAAGCTTGGAACGGCAGGGCCATATTCGGCTCGAACCCAGACTTCATACTGGAATTGGATGCCAGCCTGTGGGGTTGGGGAGCCCACTGCGCACACGCATCCACGGGGGGTCCCTGGTCGGAAGAGGAAAAGTCACTGCACATCAATTGTCTAGAGTTGATAGCCGGCTCTTTCGCTATCCGCAGCCTGGCCAAGCACATGTCCAATTGCTGCATACTTCTACGCATGGACAACATATCGGCAGTCCAGTACGTGAACCGACTGGGAGGAGCCAGGTCCCGAGCA